TTAATAAATTTAAAGTTAATTTTTATTTTTTAATATAAATTAATTACCAAAAAATATAATTAATGTTTTTTTAATCTATATTCTTAAGATAATATATATTTTTAAGATACAAATTAAACAAATCTAAACTTGTAATATTATATCACGTTGTAAAGCTATAACATTGTTGTCGCGCGAAATCCCTCCAAATTTCTCGAATGAGGGAAGTAAAGAAGAAAAAAATATGATTACGAGATTTTGTTCAGATTGCGTTCCGAAACCCGTGGAGAAATGGGTTTCAAGGCGTTGGGCCTGTAATCTGAGCCCAAAAAGAAATTTACCTGGATTTCCGGTTGCCCCAAATTCGTGGAGCCGCTAACCCGGTATAAAAAACCCCCCACACCAAACCACCCAACACACTCTATAGTCTATCCTCTAGCTTCAATCTCACCCACCATTTCCCCACCTTAGATTGACGGTGAGGAAAAAAATGGCCTGCACAGCTACTTCCGCCGCTGCCTTCGTCTCCAACGCCAGGGTTCTGTCTCCCAAATCCGTTCCGGTTGCGAAGTCGGTCGCTCAGTCCCTGACTGTTCCGACTTCTTTCACCGGTCTGCGCAGGTCTCTCCAATCTCGAGTTTCACGATCGGTTTCCCTAAGTCGTGGCTCTCATTCTCGAAAGAGCTTCGTTGTGAAAGCTAGTGTGAGTGCTTTAGATGCTCCAGCTTCTTTTTCTTTTTGTTTCGTTTCTGTTTTCTTTTTGCAACTTATTGAAGACGATTTTGATTTCTGAATTAAGTTTCCGTTTTCCTCTTGCAATCAATATGAAGGCTGTTTTTTTTTTTTTAGCATTTTTCTTTATTCTTTGGTTTCTTCTGATTGAAATTAGATAGAGCTTTCATTTCCTGAAAAATCGCAGTGAAACAAGCAATGTGAAGTCTAGACTATGCTTAAAAGTGAAAATAGTTATATCTGTTAAGGTTACTGTTTATACTTTATACTACTTCTGTTTTTATGAAACGCAGTAGGAAATGAAAAGGGCTGATAACTGCGAGAAATGTGAAATTTGAAGTTTATAAGTTACCCTTATCAATTAAATGTAGACTTTGGAGTTTATAAGTTATAACCACTTAGAATGAATTCAGTATGTAATAGTAGGTTTGCTACAGGCTGAATGATAATCCTGATGGTGTCGATTTTGTTATTTTCTTTGATTACCTTAACTGATAGAATTTAGTGGTCCTTTAGTATGGAAGAGACTCTTTTTTTTTTTGGTTTAATGTATTGCATAGCTGTGCTAGTTAATGTTCCAACACCTGTTAAGCCTAGCGTTGATGGTACCTGCTTGCTTTCGTTTCTATAGTTAATTTCTAATTTATATTTCAAATTTGCAGTTTGAACTCCCATTGGTGGGAAATACTGCTCCGGATTTTGAGGCGGAGGCTGTTTTTGATCAGGAGTTCATTAAGGTATAATGCTATATATTGATACAATAGCAGATTGTTCTGAATTCTGAAACATGTTAAGCACTCTATTTTGTCTTTTTATCTATTAATTTTGAATGCACAATTGAATTGCTGCGTTATTTTTTACAGGTCAGGCTCTCTGAATATATTGGGAAGAAATATGTGATACTCTTTTTCTACCCACTAGACTTCACTTTTGTTTGCCCCACAGGTTTGTTTGAGCTTGAAAACTAATTTGAAGCAGGCATGGTATTTGATTCTGATAACTTCCTCTGTTTCCAACTGCATCCAGAGATTACTGCTTTCAGTGATCGCTATGGGGAATTTGAGAAGCTTAACACAGAAATATTGGGTGTTTCAGTGGACAGTGTGGTAAGTTGCCCCCTTTGTTAAATTTGGAGAAAGGTCATACGGACCTCATTCCCCACACTTGTAGTGTAACTTGTTTTTAATGTTCTATGGAGAAGTTTTTGGCTGTTGTTGATCAGCTTATCTTGTAGATTTTCATGACTCTTGACTTATTTGTACTTGTTATTTCCTGTAAAAGTTCTTGTCTGTTGTAGCACATCTTAAATCACCATTACACAAAAGATTTAATTTAATTGTGCCATATTTTCCAACTTTGCTCCCTTTATTAGGTTAAGAAGATGTCACATAAATTCTTATATTGCGTAGTAATTGTCCTTCTTGTAGTTCTCGCACCTTGCATGGGTTCAAACAGATAGAAAGTCTGGTGGTCTGGGTGACTTGAGGTACCCATTGATATCTGATGTTACCAAGTCAATTTCAAAATCTTATCAAGTTCTGATCCCTGATCAGGTATGCAATAACCTCATCTTTGAATAAGGACATCTAAAGATAAGTAATTATGGAAGTTAGTTACCAGGTATTTCATTGTCATTGTAATGCTGACATATGGTTATTCTCATAACTGTGGTAGCAATAGCCTCTTGGCTTCCATTTGAGTATTGGTCTATGGATTATATCTCAACAGTCTGTTTTTGGTAGCACCTTCAAATTATGTATTAGAGGGAACTTGCGTCAAATGGTACTCTGTTGTTTTGTTTACTCAAAAATACCTGATTGGTGACAAGTGTCAGAGATTTCTGTGAACTATCACTGCAGAAAGTGATCATTTGTTTGGTTGCTCTTTACCATGGGATTCATGATCACCTAAGGTCTTGTTCATAACATTTCATTGCTTTTTTTTTTGTTCTTTGTTCAGCAAAGCCTTTTCATTGCTACTCAGATTCCCCTGTATGACTGTACCCTTTTTTATTCTCAACAAAAAGGCTGCTTTATTTATTTGTTCAGGAAGAAATCCGGAGATTGGGTTTTGAAATTATGCTGTTAAAAAAAAAAAAGGCTTCTATATTTCCCTTGAATTATGCAATTCCTTAGTGCCAGTGTGATCTACATTGCAAATTGCATGTTGTCTTAGAAGGTTCAGTTTTGATGTCAGGGAATTGCATTGAGAGGCCTTTTCATTATTGACAAGGAAGGAGTTATCCAGCACTCTACCATTAACAATCTTGCCATTGGCCGAAGTGTTGATGAGACATTGAGGACGCTTCAGGTAATTACACACAACACAAAGCTAAGGCCAAGGCTGCTCAATTGTAGGATTTTGCAAAAGTTTTTTGGTTGAATTTCTTAATGGTATTCATCTATTCTCTGATTTGCTTTTTTGTTGCTCCCTCCAGGCCTTGCAATATGTGCAAGAAAATCCAGATGAAGTCTGCCCGGCTGGATGGAAGCCAGGGGAGAAATCAATGAAACCAGACCCTAAGCTCAGCAAGGAGTATTTTGCTGCAATATAGAGAGGTAGCATGCAAGAGCCAAGAGCGAACGTGTCTGTTAGCTGTAAACGAGTTTAGTCCCAATGTAATGTGTTGCAGTGGTCCAGTTTTTGGTAGCAATCTCTTGGAATAAACATGTTTGGATGGTGCCTACCAGGCTTTTTTGGATCCGTTAAAGAACACAACACAACTTTCCTGCTATCACCAGCTTTTCTTTCATCGTTTGTATGTTTGAAGCATGATTTGAAGTTTAATCAAACTAAGTTGTGAACATTCATTGTCTTGATTTCAGAAGGATAGAAGAGATTGTAGTAAAGGAATTGAGGAAAATCAAGATAATTTAATAATTAAAATATCAGGATTAATAATAAAAAAAATTAAAATGTTTTTAATAAATTAACACATAAAAAAATTCATTAAAATTATATAAATAATTTTACAAAAAACTCTTGATATTTAACTGTAAGGATATCTTGATTTTTATTTTCTATTTTTTTATTGCAAATGGATAACCGTGTGCCGCCTATTCTTCTTTGGTCAATATCCTGTCCCTGCAATTAACGGGCTCTCTCATCTCATCCAATGGTTGCACAGGTTGTAAAATATATATATACCTATATATATATATATATATTTGGTATTTCCAATTTAAACATCTCAACAAATGTTGTTGGGGTTGTAAATGTGCAGAATTTTGTCTATTAGCTCAATTTTTTTGCTACATTTGATAATGAATTATATAAGAAAAGATATTTCTTCTCCATTTTTAAGTTATTTTTTATCCAATTCAAGAGTTAAATTAAAAATTTTTAACTTAAAATTTCAAATTTTTAACAGTTGGGTTACTCAATGAGTTGTTTATTAGTTCAATACTCAAGCTGGACTTCGGACCCAAACTTAAAAGTATTTGGGCAAGCTTTTAGACAAAGATATTAAATTAACTAAATATATAAAACTGTTTTTTTTATTAAATTCAAGCTTAAGGTCAAAAATGTTTTCAAGCCTAAAATTCAAGCTTAAGCTTAATTTTCATTCAAACTTGAATCAAGCCTCAGTAGTAGCTCATCTCCATTTACAGTACCAATAAATGTGGAGGAACCAAAAATTTACCAACTCTTCAATTGTTTTACCTTCCTTGTTTCATATAACCTTCAATTATGTAACTTCAGCCACCTGCTTTCCTATTCACATAATTGCCTAGTCCTTTCTTATCAATATAGGCCGTGGCCTTATGGGCCGCATCGCGACCCTTCGTTTCCCCAGTAATCTTCCTATCTCTCAAAATTATCACATGCTATATAGTACATATTACCATCATTTAATTTTAGTTGGTGTAATTTGACTTCTTTAACTCTTTAAATATTAATTTTAAATAAAAATTTAGTATAATATATAAGTAATAATAATTTTTTTTTGATTAAATGAAACTACTTAGTAATAAATAATTATATATAAATAAAAAACAATTTTTAATTATTATTCATAAGTTTTATTAGATTTTTGACTAAAATTAATGTTTATTAAATTTAAAAAATGAAATTAAGGCAATTAAAATTAAATGAAAGGAGTACATCTGAATTGTGTCTAAGTCATGATATGGTATGAATCTGTTGTTGCTGCTCGGAGTATTTTTTCCTTAAGTCTTGTACATCTTCCCTACTTTATATTTTTATATTGAAATAAAATCTTAATAATTAAAATAATTTTATTGAACCAACTCCTTGAATTCAATGGTACATCCCTAAATTTTAGTACTTGAGTAGGTTTGATATGAAGTTGGAGTCTCACCAATCACTTAACTATTCTCATTAAACGTAGTGGTTATTGGTATTTCTCTCCACCTATAAACTGAGCCATTCCTTTTCTTCTTCTCATGTAATTGTCCTTGTTTGAAAAAAAAAAATTATTAATATAAAAATCTTTCATCATAAAAATCCAAACTTGTACTCTCCCATCCCACTTTCTCCCCAGTGTCCTGAACCCATGGCTTTGGTATATAACAAAAAAAATGTACTCCCGTACTTCTGATTCTACGCCAGTTTCCCGTTTCATTCCATGCCATACCTAAAAAAAGGTCCCATTACATGCGTCTCAGCACTCCCAAGTCTTCATCCCCAACGGCTAATCACTTCAATTTTGTTGGCTTCTGCCTTCCCATTTCATTTCCCTGAATCGGGCCCCGACAATCTCAAGGAGCTCTTTACCCCACATCTGGCTGAAAAAGTCCCTAAAGTCTAAATATTTACCCGTCGTTTCTCTCTTACTTAATTTTGTGGAGAAACTCATGTCAACCTTACGTCTTCTTTTTGAAAAACTTACCTTCAAATTTTAAAATTGATTTAAAAAAATATTATACCTAACTCATTGCTGATTAACTCGTAACCACTTTTTTTTTTTTTAACATGTGTTTTTACTGTATATATTAATGGTATATTTATTATATTTTTTTTATTATAAATTTATGTTTTAAGTTGAGGGTTGAATTCCTTCAAAGATAAAAAATTTAGACAAAAATTTACTTTTAACCCATCATTTTATCAAATTTGAAAGTTTTAACCACTCACGTTATATTATGACACTTTTAACTAATTTATAAGTTTTAGTTTTTTATATGTTAAAATCAAAAAAAATAACTCCTACTTTATACTAACCATTAACTCTGTTAACTGAAAGTAAGTTTTGTCAACTCATAATCAACAAATAGTCATTAAAGAGTTAAAATCGTTAAATTTGACTACGTGAAAGGCTAATATTAGGCTTTTGCCACGAATATATGGGTGTTTTGGGGTTTATGCCGGCCAACCTCACGTCTTCTTGTTAAAAACCTTATCTTCAAATTTTAAAATGGATGTAAAAAAAATATTGTACCTAACTCATCACTGGCCTAACTCGTAACTTGCACTTTCTCCATTTTTTTTTTCTTTTTTTCTTTTTCTTTTTAACATGTGCTTTTGCTGTATATATTAATTGTATATTTATTATATTTTTTATTATAAATTTATGTTTTAAGTTGAGGGTTGAATTCCTTCAAAGATAATGAATTTAGACAAAAACTTACTTTTAACCTCTCACTTTATTAAATTTAAAGGTTTAACCACTCACCTTATATTATAATACTTTTAATCGATTTATAAGTTTTAGCTCCTCACATATTAAAATAAAAAAAAAATAACTCTCATTTTATACTAACTGTTAACTCTGTTAGCTGAAAGTGGGTTTTTGTTAACTCACAATCAACTAATAGTCAATTAATAAAATTAACAAAATATTATAAAATTAATTTTGTTAATTTTATTAGCTAAAAAAAGATTTTTGTAAGTTAATAATTAACTAACAATCAGTTAACAGTCAACTAACATAACTAATAAAATGTTATAAAGTGATAGTTATTTTTTTTAATTTTAATAGGTGATGGGCTAAGAGTATTATACTATAATGTGAAGGATTAAAACTTATAAATCTAATAAGATGAGAAATTAAAAATATCATAATATAAAATAAAAAATTAAAATCGTCAAACTTGACTACGTGAATGGCTAATATTAGGCTTTTGCCACGAATATATGGGTGTTTTGGGGTTTATGCCGGTCAACCTTACGTCTTCTTGTTAAAAACCTTATCTCCAAATTTTAAAATGGATGTAAAAAAAATATTGTACCTAACTCATCACTGGACTAACTCGTAACTTTCACTTTCTCCATTTTTTTTTCTTTTTTTCTTTTTCTTTTTAACATGTGCTTTTGCTGTATATATTAATGATATATTTATTATATTTTTATTATTGATTTATATAAAAAATTATAAAAATAAATTTTATTTTTAATATTAATATTATGTAAGATAATTTAATTAAATGATTAATAAAATTTAAGTTAATTTTTGTTTTTTTATTTATATTAATAATAAAAAAATATAATAAATACATTTTTAACTTGTATTTATTTATTTTTTAACTTTAGTTGTTATAGTGTTATTAGATTAATTTAAATGTATTTCGAAACTAATTTTTTTTAATTTGATAAAAAAATAAATCATTTACATAAAAATTTTACTTTTTTAAAGAATTAAATTTTAATCAATAAGTTGTAAACTAAATTTCTTTACTAATACAACTCCTTTTTTTTAGATGAATTAAAATTACTAATACAACTCCTTGGGTTAAATTGTAATTTCCTTTATGAACACTCTAGATACATGATTAGTAAGGTGAAATAAGAAATTAACCTTTGTTAATTTGGGATCTTGACAATTACGCCCGTGAAAGGAGAAAGCAAAAGAAACTCACATTTTACTTTTTCAATTTAGCATCTTGAAAATTACCTCCGGGGTAACCAAAAGAGGAAGAAGAAGAAAAAAAGTGGGTGGCAAATTCGATAATGTCTAGTGTAATAGTGGCAATGTATCACCCAAATCGAACATGATTCCACTTCTCCAGTTGTCCACCGTTGTCCCCTTCTTGGCTTTTGTTCCTCTATAAACATGGCAAACAGCACTTACCATTCCCATTCCACTGGCTCATTCACGCATTTCGTCGAACACTTCCAAAGTGAAAAAAAGCAGGAATCCAAAACTGTCATGGCATTTCGTTTTCTACTTTCGCTTCTTTCTGTGGTCGTCCTAGCGGCTTCCACAGTCACTGCCAATGCCGGTGGCGGCGGCAGCACCATCACTGTACCTCTTTCTCCCTTCACCAACCACCTATCTTCAGATCCGTACAAAATTCTCAACAATTTAGCCACTGCTTCTATCTCCAGGGCCCGTCACCTCAAGCGCCCAAAACATGAAGCCAATAATACGTCAGATGTCACCAAGGCCTCTCTGTACCCGCACAGCTATGGCGGCTACAGTATCTCCCTCGGCTTTGGTACTCCGCCGCAGACCCTGCCCTTCCTCATGGACACCGGTAGCAGTCTCGTTTGGTTCCCCTGCACTTCTCGTTACGTCTGCAGCCAATGTGACTTTCCCAACAAAAACCCATCTCAAATACACCCTTTCTTGCCCAAATTATCATCTTCTAGCAAGGTTTTGGGCTGCAAAAATCCCAAATGCGCTTGGATTTTTGGGTCTGATGTTGGGTCCCGATGCAAAGACTGTGATCCGAGTGTCCGAAATTGTACACAGGCTTGCCCTCCTTACATCCTTCAGTACGGTTCGGGACTCACCGGTGGGGTTTTAATGCTGGAAACACTGGATTTTTCTCAAAAAACTGTCCCGAATTTCCTCGTCGGCTGCTCTGTTTTCTCAATGCGGCAACCTGCCGGAATTGTCGGGTTCGGTAGGAGTCCTGAATCTCTACCGTCCCAGATGGGTCTCAATAAATTTTCTTACTGCCTGGTTTCTCGCCGATTTGACGATCAACCGGTCGGCAGCACCATGGTGTTGGAAAGTGGGTCCAGTTCCGGTGATACGAAGACCAAAGGCCTCAGTTACACGCCATTTCAAGATAACCCGGTTACCTCCAACTCTGCTTCTCAGGATTATTTCTATGTCACTCTTCGGAAAATCATCGTCGGCGATAAGCCCGTTAAAGTCCCGTACAGATACTTGGTCCCAGGATCGGACGGTAATGGAGGTACAATTGTGGACTCAGGATCAACGTTCACTTTCATGGAGAGGCCGGTTTTTGTGGCGGTGGCGCAAGAATTTGTGAAACAGATGGGGAATTACAGCAGAGCAACCTCCGTCGAATTCCGTTCGGGTTTAAGCCCGTGCTTCAACATTTCCGGTAAGAAATCTGGGGAACTACCAGAATTGATCTTCCACTTCAAAGGCGGCGCCAAAATGGCATTGCCAGTGGAGAATTACTTTGCCTTCGTCGCTGATAGTAGCGTGATATGTCTCACCGTCGTCACCGACAATGCACTCAGTCCTGGAGTCTCCGGCGGGCCAGCAATTATCTTGGGGAGTTTTCAGCAGCAGAATTATTACGTAGAATATGATTTGGAAAACAAGAGACTGGGATTTGCGAAACAGAGTTGCGTGTGATTCCATTATCACAAAAGCGCCACTCTAATGACGGCGACCGGTGGTGCTGGTTGTTGTAATGGTGACAAAAAAAGAAATTATTCTTTTGCTGCAATAATTCTAAGAAAAGTTTTAACGGATATATATATTTATATATATAAATATTTGAATTTGGGTTAAATGAGTAGTATGATTTTGAATCATTAATATGTAAAAGTTTGATTTTCTTAGAAAGTCATAGTGGGAAAGGTGAAAAAGAGGAGACAGGGCATCAGGTTGTGCTTAAAAGCATACTCCCTTTTCCTGTTGAAATTGCTGATAATTGCATTCTGTAAAGTAGAATTGTAGAAGATGACATTTTTTTTTTTGGGGTAACCAGAAGCAGCAAATTGCAAGGAGTTGAACTTTCAGTTCTTTGCTAACTGCAAGCATGTCCAGTAGTAGGTGAGACTTGAATTCGTTGTCACTCAGTTTGGCCCAGTTGATGAACTCAAAGTCGTCACGTCAAATTGTAGAAGCTCGTTAGATAATATTTGGTTTAAATACCCATTTGGTCTCCTCACTTTTAAATTTATATTAAAATTATTCTTAAATTTTAATTCTTAGTATCAAAATAGTCTTTTTTTTTTAACAAAAATATCATGTAATTCATTATTTTGCCGCAAATTAATTCTTTTTTAACATACTAATAACATGTAAAATCAAATAGTTATATTTTGTTGTCTTAGCTTTTTTTTTTTTACATCAAATTAAAAGATTAAATTGGTATTTATAAGATTAAGTTGGTACTTATCTTCAAATTTTAAGGATTAATTTGGTACTGTCTTTAACTTTTGAGGACATTTTGGTACCAAAAATTAAATTTTAGGGATAATTTTAGTATTTTTCAAAGTTGAGGGATAATTTTGGTATAAATTTTAAAGTTGA